TCGAATTTTAAAAATTGTTTTATTGAAAATCGGTTAAAATCGGAGCGACCACCTCAAGTTGTTGCGACATGAGGTTGGTGTGAGGTAATTAGGGATTGGCTGATTGAATTGAACTCAGTGAATGTTGTATATAATTAACTTCAACTTCTACATTTTCTCCTCAATGCTGAAAAAAAAAAACTTGCGGGAAAATATAATTACTCAACTGGTCTTTCTGTTTATTTTAATTTTACTGGTTTTGAAATCAGGTCATTTCTCTGATGATATTCAGAGCTTTGACCTTCGATGGCCTTCGATTTAATCTCAAAAGTTTATGCTCGCTAGAATTTTCTGCCAGAGGATTTTTATGGCGTGTCTCATTAGAACGTAGAAGAACTGGATCTCCACTACATCCTATCGTTTTTATTTCATTTCATAGTAAGTTTTTTTTTGCTCTCTGTGAAATTTCTGTACTGACATCTATTTACAAAAGCTTGTTAATTTACACGCTGCTTCCATTGCCGCTGCTGCCTTCAATGTCCTGTTAGTGTCAAAATCACCAAACTCCCTTTCCTCATTAGAAATTTCAATTGTCGGTTTTTTTTTTATTCTAAGTATACCTGTACTTTTATACGTCATTATCTTTCATTTTACATTTTAATTATCTTTCTTAATTATCGTTATTATCTTTAATTTACATTTACTTACTTGTTAATAACCTTGGGAAAGGTATGAATTCTCTTCTTCTCCCCAACTAAGGGTAAATAGCAGGATAGACTGGGTTCTATAGCCTTGGGTGGCAACCGGTCTAGGAGAAAGAAAAAACTCTGAAGTTAAAACCGACCTGGAAGGGGTTGAGATCCGTCAGGATATGTTGTCCAAGAAATATCAATTCTACTGCAGCTGTGAGTACACATGGTACTCCGACAAACCTACGGGTCACGGAATAAAAGATTCTTTATGAAAAGTGGAAAATTATTATACATACTGGTTATCATTTGCTCGTTTATATTCAAGTATGTGCGGATTTTAACAAAGATGTTTCACAACAGTCTTTGTTAATTTATAGTGAAATTGTCTTTTTAATCCTACGAGTAAAACCTTACTCTTCATGATAGATTGAAAAGCAAAACATTTGGCATGTTTATCGAATTCTGTCGCCCATTTAAAAAAGAAGCTTTTTAGTTAAGTTTTGCTTTGAATGTCCTGTTAGCGTTAAATTAACCAAACTCCCTTTCGAAATTTTGATTGTCTCTTTCTGATTCCAAGTTTACGTGTCTTTTTTGTGACATTTTCCTTATTCATAATTTCAGTTGATGGTATTGTCAGCATTTCTGTTGCCTCAAGTCTCTTCTTCGTCTTTGTCCAACAATCCCTGCAGTAGAGGAGTACAGATATTACATAATAGTTTCCTATTCTATCATTTCTTTGTTTTGTTCATAGATACAAAAATACGTGATTAAATGTGTTCTTTTTAAATGACTGGTTTAATGAAAGATAAGAAAGCATATATAAAAGGAAGGGAAACTATGTTTTGTAAATCTTTCTCTTAGGTAAGATCTGATTGTGTTAAAATAATCAGTATAAGAAATTTTTGTTTTATCCGTGTTCGAAAATCGACCATTGATATCCGCGACAAATATTCCGGTCTAGGTGGCCTGATGGATCATATGGAGAAGGTCTGGATTGACATCTTTGAAAAAGGCATTTATCTGCCTCATATATAGAGCATATTTTAAAAGTAACTTTTCATATTAAAATACTTATAATTTATTTATTAACTATAATTTTTTAAAGAAAAGTATATAAGCGGAAGGCATAGAGCATGAAGTTTTGTTTATAACTCGATGCATTTCTCGGGTCGCTAAGGAATAGCCTGAACTGATTTCACAATGAACACATGTGGTATGGAAAACATAACTTCTTGTATTTGCCGTTCAATTACTTCCAAATCTTTGTTCGGTATATTGGACTTGCTCCTTTAACTAAGACAAAGAAAATGTCAGAGGGTGTTAAGTATCCTAAAACAATCTAGAACTTGCAGATCTCTGAACGAACTTTGTTTTTTTATGTTTGAAGAAAAAATATGTATTATTAAGCTTTTAAATAAGTCAATTATTAAATCAAAGATTTGAAACTATTGTTTCTTGTAGGCATATTAAAGATCTAAAAAATGCTGTAAGCTAATAGTTCTTATTATATTAATATTTTTTTCTTTTAATTCATATTCATATTATATTTTCTTTTCTCCTATTTTATTTTGTTGGTATTCTTTAAAATAATATCAAACATTAATTCTAAATTATGTTAATCTGTATTTTTGAAATTAACTGCAATATGTCTATATATGTGCTTTATATTTATTCTTCCTTTTCTTCTTTCCCTCCTTTTTTCCCCCCACCCTTGCTTCCTCATCTGCTTTCTTTCATATATCTTTACTATTTCTCTTTGTCCTTTTTCCTATGATATGACTTATTAAATAGGTCATATGTCTGGTCATTACCCGCCCCTCCCTGACTCTTAAATATCTTAAGACAGATTTAAATTTATTCCTATCTCTCCCTTCCTTCTTTAATTTCGGTAATATGGTTTGATGTAGCATTTGTAAAGATGAAGTACAGCAGAGAAAATCAGATGTTTACTGGAGCAGTACAAGGAAGCAACCATTTGTCCGGATATATGAGTTCCACTTGGGGTCTGGTGCGAACTTGAGTCCCAATAGACAATCAAATCAAAGAAGCCTCCTTGAGAGAACACCCATCCATCATGACAGGTGAAAGTTCAGGGTCTGCTTGGTGATAATGGGACGTTACTAGTTCGGTTTTGGCCGTATTGAATTTTACAAGCCAGTACCTCTCTCTACCCCCTTGAGACCCCTGGGCTAGGTCAGAGGTGAGAAGAACTACGAGGTAAAGGGTAGTGAGACTAAGGAATGTAGTTCGTCAGAGAACATGTCATGGAAATAGCGTTAGAGCAGAAAGAATCTCGCGACTTTTCGTTTGTGAGAAATGGGTTGTATGGTGGAAAATAATTTATTACCCACAAGGCCGCGTAAACGCTTTTGAACTTTATCAGTAGAAGCCAGGAAGGACTGGGCAGATCCACATCAGATATGGAAGCAATGTACAATTTTTTGACTAATCTGGCTCTTGTAAAGAATATAGCAGGGGGGGGGAGCTAGATACTTACTGGAGCGGTACAAAGAACCAACCATTTTTCCAGCATCGAGATATAGATCGGATATCTCAGTTCTACTTGAGGTCTGGTGAGAACCTGAGTCCCAATATGGGTTCAAGAAAAGTAGCCTACTTGAGAGAAGACCCCCTCTCAATCATGATAGATGAAATTTCAGGGGCATTCTAGGTGGGGGATGAATGTTACTAGATTGGTTTTGGACGTATTGATCTTTGCAAGCCAGATCTTCCCCTATTGAGCCTCCAGGGCTCAGTCAGAGGGGAGATGAGTTGATAGGTTCTGCTCCTCCAGAGATACCTCTATAGACTTTTGCATCATATTAACAAACTTTTCACTCCGACAAGTAACATTCATATATATATATATATATATATATATATATATATATATATATATATATATATAGTCTTTCCTTGTCATGGTAGGAGGATTACTTGTCCCAGTGATCACAAGAGCAAAGCTGTCTAGAGTTTCAACTCCTGTAGGTGCAACCATGGTGGTCGAACGGCCAGATTGAACGTGACCAACCCCCGAAGACACCAACGGCGGAATTGGCAAAAATCTACACGATATCAACGGTAAAACCGGTGAAAGAGAGCGAGCGCCTGTCGGTCGGGCCTTGATAGAACAGGGACCCGACAGCTCAATGCAACCAGGTTTTCCAGATCTCGCTTGTTTCAATGACTTTTGAGCTGCGAGGGAGGTGCTACTGGGCAAGTGTGAGGGCTTCTCCGTCGCGCAGAATTGTGCAAGAGAATAAAATTCACGGGAATGTCCTTTGTTTGATTCACACCCAGCTCCACAAGGGCCACTAAGGGAGAGAAGAGGAAAGAGAATAACGATCCCGAGGCTCGGATGCGGGCGGGTCCCGACAACAATTGTACCATAAGCATAGATATTGATCGGAGTATACTCTCAGGAAAATCCTTAATATAGAGTAGAAATTGGGTAGGACTGAGGAGATAACTCTGAAGAACGTCGGCATTGGTCTCATGTGTTTCCGATGACTAGCCGTTAGCAACGACCTATTAGAAAGGACTTGATAATTACGAATGACCTTCCATAACTGGAGAGTTTATATTGCAGTTCCCGATACCATACTTTGTCTAAGGCCTTTGATATATCAAGAGCAATGGTCCTCGTGATGTATTTATTGTGTAGTGCCTCGTTGATTCTATGAGTAAAGACATTTGTTGCGGATCTAGCAGAGCGAACGCCATATTGTTTATTGCTTAGGAGGTTGTTCTTGCTGAGATGTTCAACAAACAGCTTGTTGTTTATATATTCAAAGAGATTGCTGATAACATTAAGGAGGCTAGTGGGTTGATATTGCGACAGGGTTGGGCGCTCATGAGCATTCTTATAAAAAAGGCACACAGTTAACACCTCCCGTAGCTTTTGTTGAAGCTTTCATACCGAGACTGCTGCATGCCCATTGGTCGCTTTCACAGAGCTTGACCTTGACTCGGGCGTGCTTTCACACATTTGCGTTTATTGTTGCCCGCGTGCACGCACTTGGCTTACTTTATTCACCTGCTTCGGACACCGTAAGTTGTTGATTACGTGTTCTAGCTGCTTTTTTGTTGTATAGTTCCAACCCAACATCACACACGTTAGCCAATTGTACTAAAAACCCATTTCCTTTTGGATTTACGCTTGGTTTACCTTTTTAAATTTCCACTTTTTAGTTTCGATTTTCCCTTTAGTAAAATCTGAACTCATTTTACTGGGTGTTCCCATTTTGTGTCTACGTTAGCAGTGCAGATTTTTTCGTTTTGGATTTGTCGATATCTTTTTTTAAGTTTTACCATCTTTTTACTGTTTGGATGCCACCTAAAAGGAGGAAACTTTTGGGACGGCGCACGGCAGCTGCTAGAGCAGCGAGGGCGAGTGAAACCCCTGAACAGACTTCTTTGTGTCTATCACGGATGGACTCGAGCTCAGATCCTCGATTATCTACGGAAAGCGCTGCTGCGCGGACTGAAAGGTTGGCTTCAGCGGCTTTAACCATGGCTTTCAGTTGAAGAACGTTCACTTCAGAATTCACAAGACGCAGTCCGCGTGGCTAGGTTGAGGGCTTCACAGTCCCCAGCACAGAAAACCCCTCGTCGTTTGCGGGATGCCATCGCCAAAGCATGCGCCAAGTGTTTAGAAAGCCGCGAACAAACAACTTCACGTCGTCTTAGGAATACTAGGGCTACAGCCGCCTCTAGAGCTTCGGAACAACACCAAGAAACCGCTCATCGTCGCTTTAGAAATGCCCTATGCACCGCGTCTGCCTGAGCCTTAGAAAGCCCTGCACATACCACTGTTCGTCGCGTTAGAAATGCCCGCTCCACGGCATCTGCTAGAGCCCTAGAAACCCCTGCGCAGACCACTGTTCGTCGTGTTGGAAACACCCGCTTTACTGTATCTGCTAGAGTCCTAGAAAACCCTGCACAAACCACCTTTCGCAGCGTTAGAAATGCTCGCTCTACTGCGTCTGCCAGAACTGCAGAAAACTCTGAAGTACACCGTCAATGGCTCGAAAACAGTAGCAACTTCGAGCTTCTTTGAATGGCGTAACTTCGCCGTCTGCGTCATTTTGGTCAAATGCCGCATACAATTATGACTGCACTGTCAACTGTTTCGCTAGGAGAGGCGTACAAATAGGGGTCAAGAATAAAGTTTGCACTTTTTGCAACGCAAAAAAGTGGGCTGGTGAGCAACCTGGGCGTTGTTGCTCTGGGGGCAAAATCAAACTCCCTTCTTTAGACGAACCTCCACAGCCGCTTAGGGACCTCCTTCTGGGTACAACTTCGAACTCAACGCATTTTCTTGAAGCAATACGGAAGTACAACTGTTGCTTCCAGATGACGTCTTTTGGTGCGAAGGCTATTAGTGAGGGGGGATGGATACCTACTTTCAAAGTGCAAGGCCATGTTTACCACTTAATGGGATCACTTTTGGCTGATCAGGGAGAGCCACCTCAGTTCCTACAAATTTACTTTCTCGCTGACTACAACGAGCAGGGTGATGCGCATTTCAGCATTCTGCCTAGCGATTTTTCCGTCGGTCCCCGTAGAGACATTCTGTTCAGTCTACAAGACACGCTTCACGAAACTAACAGTTACATCCGAAGCTTAAAGTTTGCGTTGCAAAAAAACTCTTCTCCCTCTTTCAGCGTTGTCAACGATGCAGACAGACGGCCTGACGGTGAGCATGAGCGTCGCTTCAATGCTCCTGCATGTAATGATGTCGCTGAAGTCATCCAGGGCAAGGAGCATAACAGCCGTGACATTGTCATAAGTTACAGGGGCGGTGGTCTGCGCCGCATCAGTGAAACCCACCGTTCATACGACTGTCTCCAGTACCCACTTCTTTTTCCATACGGAAGCGATGGGTACCACTTCAAAATCCCAATATGCCAGGCAAGCAGCGATTCCATGTCGACCTCAAAGACGGTCTCCTGTAGGGCTTACTACGCCTACATATTTATGGTTAGGGAGGGTGAATTTAACCACTTGCACAGGTGCCGTCAACTATTTCTTCAATTCGCTGTTGACATGGCTGCAAAAATAGAGTCGGAGAAGTTAGGATTCATCAAGTTAAACCAATCCAAACTTAGAACCGACTCCTGCATTCACCTTCGTGATGGTCTGCGTTCTGATGGTGACCCATGCAATCTCGACAAACCGTGCATTTTGCCTTCCTCTTACACTGATGGCCCTCTATACATGCATGAAAAGACAAAAGATACAATGACCTATGCCCCTCTTTACGAGAGGCCAGATTTCTTCGTCACGTTCACGTGCAATCCGAAATGGGCTGAAATCACACGCGAATTTTTTCCACGTCAGCAGTACTCACACCGCTCTGACCTAATTGCCCGCGTTTTCCGGTTACAGCTGTGTAAGCTTATGGATTTAATCCTTAAAGGGCAAGTCTTCTGACGCGTTAAGTGCCATATGTATACGGTGGAATGGCAGAAAAGCGGTTTGCCTCATGCCCACATTCTGCTGTGCCTCAATGATAAGGTTGACGCAAACAAAATGGACGATTTTATTTCTGCTGAAATTCCGGATCCTGCGCTGGATCCTTTGCTCCACGAAATCATTAAACACAATATGATACACGGTGCCTGTGGCGTGAATTACGAAAAAAGGTCATGTTGGTCAAGCGGCTCCACTTGCGCAAAGGGTTACCCCCGTAAGTTTATCTCAGAAACGCAGACTGCGACGGATGGTTACCCAGTGTACAGATGTAGAAGCCTCGCTGAGGGTTGCAGAACTGTGACAGTTAAGGGGCACACTCTGGACAATCGTTGGGTGATGCCTTATTGCCCGCAGCTGTCCAAGACTTTTGGAGCCCACATAAACGTTGAATACTGCCACTTGCTTAAGTCTATAAAGTACATCTGCAAATATGTTAATAAAGGCAGCGATGCTACCGTTTTCGGTATCCGGCGCGACAATTGCATTGACGAGGTGGTCGATTACGTGGATGGACACTACCTCACCAAAGGGCTCCAGACATTGTGCAGCTTGCTGTTCACGTAGAAAATGGACAGAGGATGTACTTCACCGAACAAAACGCCCAGCTGGCTGCGGAAAACCCTAAAGACACAACCCTAACGGCTTTCTTTAAATTATGCTCAACAGATGCCAGTCCTATAGAGAGGCATGCTTCCGTTTGGGATTTCTTAAAGACGACTCCCAATGGGATGCAGCCATGGCGGAGGGTGAACTTCTCAGAACGCCATCACGGCTTCGAACGCTGTTCGCTATTTTGCTTTTGCGATGCGAACTAAGCGATCCTCTTGTGACACTATTTAGGATTGCGTGAAAAAAAAGGCGAGAATTAATTTAGGTGATAAGAAGCTATCACGAAAAGACACTGAGCGATGTTATTTTTTCTAACAAAGAAAAGTGGTAAATATTTTATTTTCATTAGCGAAGAAAGTAAGATATCGGATCTGTCGGATTTAATTTGATTTATGTTACGACGGAGCGAATAAAAGATAGCCGTCTGCCCATGGCAATAATGAAAATTTCAAATTGGCCAAGTGGCCTACAAAACAGAATGCTAAGAGATAATATTAATTAGGTCACGCTCTGACAGAGAAATACCAGCTGGACCACCCACAAGTTAAAAAGAAGGAAAGATTAAACCATTAACTATCATTTGGGAAAAACACCTGTTTTATGTCAGAACTGGCCATGATAGAATTTTTTTTTCTTTGAGCGATAATTGCAAACACCCACGCTGCTGAGCTTTCATTGGCTGAAGGGTGGCGTGAGCGGTAGGCGAAGGTAAACTATGAAGAAGGAGGGGGAGGACTGTTGACGCCCCCTGAAGGGATAGGTGTGAGATGCCACTGAGAGAGAGAGGGGAACCTGTTGACGCTCTCTGAGGGGATTGGTGGGAGATACCAATATGAGAAAAGAAGAATTTGGGAGGACGATTCCCTTTAATTAGAAAGTAAGGACTTCCAAAAATGAAAAGTAATAAATTTTCCTGTTCGAGAACAAAGAAAATCTTTATTGTGGATTTAGAATTATCAAGGAACCTCAAACCCCGACAAGCCCACCCGGTTTTGGTCGGCGTCCATATAAGCAGAGTCACAGCGAGTGGACGGCAGTTGGAGTTGGAAGTTGAATCAGAGAGAAGTTACTTGCAGTTAAGCTGTGAGCTCTGAGACCCGCCTCGCAGAAAGCTGACTGAGATCCACGCATCACGACCTCAACTTCTAACCAAGAACAAGTTATTTTTGAAGAACGACTTAGACTCACACCACCAAAACAAGTTTTACGAATATCGCCTGAAGATACACTAAAAACCAGTTTCTTAAAAAAAAACAACTTAAGATGTTAAGACTCGCCTAACAAACGCAAGGTGTCACGAATCCATATTAGCGGTTTGGGAGAAAGACGCAGTCCTTTATTCAGCAACCAGATATAAAATATTGTTATTCTTTTTTAACACATTTGAACTTTTCGAGTTGTTACTTTATTTTCTTTTACATATATTTGTGCGGTATTACCCTTGTTCGGACTCGACTTGCATTGCGGCCCGGCGACTAATTGATTTCGTCTACCTAAGATCAAATCACAACGTGGGTAAGTTAGACTAGAAATCAAAACAGTTACTTCGGTAACCAGGCGTTGGAGGCGAGCTGGCAACGACAAAGCTGATACCGAATCTAACCAGATTTCCATCCGAATCAGCACGTCATGTTTGGTGCCGCGACCAATACCAAGTCACATTGGTCGTCGCAGGATAGACGGAGTATGGGGTAGAGAGGACACGGGGTGACGTCACACTTTGTGGCTCTGGCTAAAGTACAGAGAATCCATAAGAGGATGTGCTGTTCTCCGTTCAGCGTCACAGCCCAGGAGTTGAATGCGCTTTCATTGACATCATATTCAACATAGCCCTAGTGGCCCTAGAAGATGTTGTTTTCGAACTAGTAGGGGCCTCTTTACCAACTTACGGTTTACCTCTACCGCTCAGAGGCGGTTTTGACACTGTACCAACTGAGTTATTGCGGGAAACATCCTACTCCATCGAGGGGCTGAACGCATACATTACCGAAAACGAGCCCAAACTTCTACTTGATCAGAGGATTGCTTTCACTACCATAACAGACAGGGCAAATGGCTCAAGTGGAGCTATATACTTTTTAGATGCGCCCGGAGGAACTGGCAAAACTTTTGTTACTAAATTAGTCGTGGGGAGATCGCTATTGCGGTCGCATCTTCCGGGATTGCTGCAACGTTGCTACCGGGAGGTAGAACCTCTCATTCGGCTTTTAGGTTGCCGCTTGATCTATGCCGGTCACAAACCCCTCTCTGTAACATAACAAAGAATTCGCCACAGGCTGAAGTTCTTCGGAGATGTAAACTTATAGTTTGGGATGAGTACAGGGCACTTGACTGAAGTCTCCAAGACATCCGCGACTCCTCCGACCCAATGGATGGAGTAACCCTTCTCCTCGCAGGCGACTTTAAGCAGACTCTACTTGTTATGCCTAAAGTTCCACGCGCTGACGCTGTCCGCGCCTGCCTGAAGTCGCCTGCCCTTTGGTACCACGTGGAGACTCTTAAACTGAGCACGAACATGCGTGCCTACTTGAATGAAGACTCCAGATCTGCTGACTTTGCACGGGACCTTCTTGCTCTTGGGAAAGGGAAAATTCCATCTGACACACACGGTTTTGTGAAGATAGATCAGCTTCCCACCACTGTTGAATCACCGGATGAATTTATGAATTCAGTCTTCTACAACCTATCCACTAATTTTGCCGATGCCGATTGGCTTGCTGGGAGGGCCATATTGGCACCGAAGAACTGTACAGTTTATTCCATCAACCTTAAACTGTTGGATTGCATTCCCGGGCAATGTCATGTTTATAAGTCCATCAACAGAACTTCCGATCCATCTGAATTAGCTGAGTATCCCATAGAAGTTTTGAACTCCCTTCAGCCGTCCGGAATCCATCCTTATATTCTTCGACTCACAGTTGGTGCTCCGATTATGCTAATCAGGAATTTGCTCCCACATAAACAGTGCAACGGGACTCGCCTCATTATTAGATCCCTTTCTCCAAACCTGATTGAGGCGACCATTGCAACTGGCTGCGCAAGGGGGAAGTCGTTCTGATTCCCAGGATGCATCTTCTGCTGTCAGATGCAAGCATATCAATCAACTTTCGTCGCTCACAATTTCCCGTGAAGGTTTTCTTTGCTATGTCCATTAACAAAGCACACGGAGAGACGCTTAGCATCGCAGGTCTGCATTTACGTGAGCAGTGTTTCACGGCCAACTTTACGTTGGGTGCTCACGAGTTGGGTCTAAGGACAGGGTTTTCATTTACCCTACCAACAACTGTGCTAGAAACATAACCTACACTGAGGTCCTGTAGACAACCCACCCGGTAGACTTTAAGCGCCATGCACACATATGCAGTCCAATTGCTTGGCAATGTTTTTGTTTGTCATATTGGTTTTAACGTTAGGTCGTCGTAGTCTCCACTTGCCATTGCTAAGACATCTTTGTAAAGGTTATCCAGCTCTTTTGCTGCCTTCTGACTTTCATACCTTCACCCGCCATCATCGCGTTTGTTTGTACACTATGATAACCTCACCGTATTCAGTTGCAACACAAGCTGCTAGACACATGAACACCGGCATTAGACATGATTGCTCCACTAAAGTTCCGGTTTCATTAACAGTTGATCAGAGCACCTGCAGTTCGTACCAGTGCATACAAGCACATTCACACTTGAGAAGCTTCGGAGTTCGTTTAATTGTCACAAAAGTCGAGTGCTTTCAACGAAATTCAGGCTTCTGCTTCCATATACACTTTACGGCTACCATGGGTGAAACATGTCAGCCATACGGCTCTATTATTTTGTTTGTAGTCGTGTAAAAAACCTAAAAAACACACGCCGAGTACGACGACCCCAGTCGGTTTTCATAAGCTCTCAGTCGTGATGTTGACTGCGATTGAAGAGAAGGCACTTCTCCATTGCAATTGAAGCGCTCGGCCGTACGGCGACCCCGGTCCAGTTTCATGAGTTCTCAGCCGTGATGTTGTCTACGACTGAAGAGATGGCACTTCTCCATTGCACTTACGATGTTCGGCCTTACGGCTACCCCGTTGTGCTTTTAAGGGCTCTCAGCCACGATGTAGATAGTTACAGATCAGAATAAAGGAAGTTATATCACAGAAATTTTCTTACCATGACACCCCATCACTGTTCGCTCTTCTCTCGGTTTTACGGTTCTGCTTTGTGGTCGTGGCAGCGCTGTCTTTTGGGCACAAGACGCGTCTTTTAGTAAGACAAGCGGTTTGTTTGGGATTTCGCACGGCACATACTTTATGTCTCTGGCTTCCTCACAGCACGTTTCCTTCAATCCCTATGTATGTTGCAACTGAATCGTGGTTTCTT